CTATAGGCGAATGGCAAAGGCAATAGACTATAGGCTATAGGCAATAGGCTATAGGCTATAGGCAATAGACTACAGGCTATAGGTTATAGACAATAGGCTCTAGGCCAGGGGTCACCAACCTTTTTGAAGCTGAGAGCAACTTCATGGGTACGGAGTCATGCAAAGGGCAACCAGTTCGATAAAGTCTTCTGAAATAACAAATTTGCTCAGTTTGCCTCTTAATTATACATTATTAATGAATCAGTTGAAAAATGAAAAAGTTGTCCTTCCACAAATCATGTCATGTTAAAGGACAATCAAATATTTAGAAAAATCACATACTCTTAAATAAATCTTGTCACATTTTGAACCAATTACTGAATCTGCTGCATTTTTAACAAAATTATATACATTAACTGACATATCATGAACACATGTTTAAATTGAACAAAATGGTTAAATATTTTAATTTATATTTGCCATGGCACTGCAACTGACTGTCGCCACTGTTAGTGAGAAGGCTGACATTGCATGCTGTTCACTATTTTGGTGTGTAACTTGACACTGCAACTGTGAGTGAGTCTTTCAGATGTGCATCAGTGAGGCATGTTCTGTGTTTGTTCTTAATGAAGTTCATATCAGAAAATGCTGATTCACAGAGATAAGTTGAACCAAACAGGCTGGCAACCTTCAAAGCTGCTGTGCGAACACCGCTGTACTTCTCTGTGTCAACAAGGCACCAAAAGTTTGGTGCAGACCTGTGGGCTTTGAGGAGGAGGTCATTTTGCAATGTTATGATTTCAATCTCCACCTGTCCAGCATCCAAGTTGAACATTGCACTAAGTTGCTCAGTAAAGCAAGTTGTGTTCACATTCATGAAAGGATTGGAAATAAATGACACACATGTCTCAAGCTGATCAAGACTACAAAACCTATTCTCAAACTCCTGCCCAAGTCTGTTTATGACTTCACAGTACTTTTCTGCAACTATTTCAAATGTCTAAGATGCAGAAGTGTTGTCTTTCAGCACAGACTGCACAGAGGGAAAGTGCACCACGTTTTTTCTCTGTAAATGACATGTGAAAATGTTCATCTGGGCTTTAAATGAATTTAAAGCACTTATCATATCAATGACAGTCTTGTCTTTGCCTTGCAGCTCACAGTTCAAGTGATTCAGTTTCCCAGCAATGTCTGTCAAAAATGCCAGGTCAAGTCTCCACGCTGTGTCCTCCAGCAATGAGACATCTTCACCTCGGGACTGCATGAACTCTTTGATTTCATCCAAAAGTGTCAAAAAACGAAGTAAACTCGCCCCCTGCTGAGCCATCTGATTTCGGTGTGTAGCAGCAAGTCACCATATTCAGCTGACATCTCCTCCAATAGCAACTTGAAAATTCGATGCTGTTTTGCTTTGGATCGGATGCTATTTATAATTTTTACAATGGGACTCATCACATGGTCAAAGCCGATCACTTTTGCACATAACACCTGCTGGTGAATGACACAGTGATAATGCAGAAATTTGGGAAAGTCTGGGTCACCTTGACAGTGAGCGATGAAACCTGTATGTCGGCCGATCATAGCAGGTGCCCCGTCTGTAGTCAACCCTACCAGCTTTTCCATCGGCACCTTTCTGAGTATAAAAAACTCCTTCACAGTTTTAAAAATGTCAGCTCCCCTTGTGGTTGTCTTTATTGGGAGTAACGTCAGGAGTTCCTCTCTGGTAGAAAAATCTTCAAAGACCATCCGGACGAAAATCAATAGCTGCGCTGTACTGCTGCTGTCCACGGACTCGTCGCACTGGATGCTAAACCACCTGCACCTCGCCAGATCCTGATCCAGCTGATCAGCCAAGTTACCAGACATAAGTGACACTCGTCTAGCCATCGTAGAGGCCCCCAGTTGTACGTCAGAGAGAGTGGAGATCAGATCGGCTCCATTTTTCTCATCCTTGAGAACAGTGTTAGTGTAGCAAGTATGCAAAAAAATTGTTTATATTTCATCCCAAATCCATCTTCATTATCTATGTATATTTGTTTTTCTTCAATTTCGAGGTGTAATTTTATTTTGGTAAAGAAGCTTTTATTTTCTCGTTTCCTGTTTATTTTCTTGTTTCCGGTTTTGCATCACATCCTGTGTGTTCGCGCTACTCTCCTCAGTTCGCGCCGAACTGCGCTGGGGAGAGGTGAGTGTACTAGCTGTCATCAGTTTGTTTGTGAAAATATTCAAAATATTCTAAAAAAAGTATGTTTGCTAACTTAACATATCTTATATATTGATTTTCTACTGTTTTATGTTGGTGCAGCTCTTGATTCCCACCATTTCGACATTTGTTGAGTTTATCAAGCCAACCTGGTCATTTTTATTTTTTGGTCGTTTAAGGTGTGTGCTGTGTATGGGAAGGTTGGAGCCCAGACCGCTGCATTGATTTATTTTTGTTTCAAACAGGTATGTGAATTGCTTCAAAGTGTTATCTGGATGTTAGATTGATGTAATTAATATGTTTTCATATTATAATGGAAAATTATTTTTATTGCTTCAATTTGAACTGTGGGAATTGTGACTGTTGGGCAGATGATTTCTGTTTGTTTTTGTTTTGATTGTTTGGATGCTTTATTGTTAAGTGAACCTCTGACGGAATTTTAGTTTTGACACGTTCTTGTGTCAGTTCGCGCCGAACTGCGCTGGGGAGAGGTGTGTGCTGTGTATGGGAAGGTCGGAGCCCAGACCGCTGCATTGATTTATTTTTGTTTCAAACAGAATAAACCTGCTAGACATCCCGAGTCTTCGTCTGCTGGTCCCTTTTATTACACAACGCAGAGTTCAAGTCGGCTACATTAGCAATAATAATCATTGCTTCTTTGACAACTTCTCCGTCTGAAAATGCCTTCTTCTTCTTTATTAGAAAATGTGTAGCTCTAAACGAGGCTTCCGTTGTTTTTTGGGACTTTTTTTGGCTCTTTTGAAAAAAAAGACTGTTGCCTCCCCAAAGCTGCCTTGAGCTCACGGGATTTTTCTGTCCGCAATGCGCTTCCCGGTGGGTAGTTAGCATTGTAGCTTTTGACATGTAGTGAAGTGTCTCTCCACATTGTGTCGCTTCGCCGACGCCACAGTCGCCCCGCAAATAAGACACACACAGGTTCCCTTCACAGTTGTAAAAAATAACTCTTCCTCCCATTCGTTTTTAAAAGTATAAGTTTTCCTTCTTTTTTCTGCCATTTTTGGGGGGTAGGAAACTGCATTCACCGATTACCTTCGCGGAACTCCTAGCATACTTTTCACGACCGCTGATTGGCTCGCACAATACTGCTCTTTGAACTAGATTAGGTCAGAGTTCACCAAAGCTTTAATAATATATATATATATATATATATATATATATATATATATATATATATATATATATATATATATCGAGATGTATATATATATATATATATATCGAGATGTATATATATATATATATATATACATCTCGATGCCCGGTGTCCTACAACTTTTAGATGTGCCTCTGTTGCACCACTCCTGAATAGAGGAGTCTATATATATATATATAGAGGAGTCTATATATATATATATAATATATATATATATATATATATATATATATATATATATATATATATATATATAATTAACATATTTTTATAGATGTGTATATATAATGTATATAAACACAAATAACATAAAAATAATAACTGAATAAAATTTAATTTTAGACTGAGGACCGCTCAGTAGTGAGTTGTGCTATTTTTAGAACTGGTCCGCGGGCGACTCAAATGGTCCTTGCGGGCGACCAGGTGCCCGCGAGCACCAGGTTGGTGACCCCTGCTCTAGGCTATAGGCAATAGGCTATAGACAATAGGCTATAGGCAATAGGCTATGGGCTATAGGCTACAGGCCATAGGCAATAGGCTATATGCTATAGGCTATAGACAATAGGCTCTAGGCTATAGGCAATAGGCAGCAGACTATAAGCAATAGACTATAGGCTACAGGCTATAGGCAATAGGCTATAGACAATAGGCTATAGGCAATTGGCTATAGGTTATAGACAATAGGCTCTAGGCTATAGGCAATAGGCTATAGACAATAGGCTATAGGCTATATGCTATACGCAATAGGCTATAGGCTACAGGCTATAGGCGAATGGCAAAGGCAATAGACTATAGGCAAAAGGCTATAGGCAATAGGCTATAGGTTATAGACAATAGTATCTAGGCTATAGGCTATAAGCAATAGGCTATAGGCAATAGGCAATAGGCTATAGGAAATATGCTATAGGTTATAGGCAGTATGCTATAGGCTATAGGCAATGGGCTATAGGAAATAGGCTATATGCTATAGGTTATAGGCAGTATGCTATGGGCAATGGGCTATAGACAATAGGCTATAGGCAATAGGCTATATGCTAAAGGTTATAGGCAATAGTCTATATGCTATAGGTTATAGGCAGTATGCTATAGTCTATAGGCAATGGGCTATACACAATAGGCTATAGACAATAGGCTATAGGCTAAAGGCTATAGGGAATAGGCTATAGATTATAGACTATAGGCTATAGGCTATAGGTTATAGACAATAGGCTATAGGCCATATGTGTCTAACTCCAGTCCTCGAGGCCCGGTGTCCTACAACTTTTAGATGTGCCTCTGCTGCACCACTCCTGAATAGAATAATTTGGTCATTAGCAAGGCTGTGGAGAACAAGGAGGAGGTAATTAAGCCATTTCATTCCAGTGTTTTGTACCTGTGGCTAAAAACTACACATCTAAAAAACTGTGCAATAACTGTATGTAAATGCCACCAGGAGAGTAAACATTTCTTGATTTCGTTGAGAGCAGTGATTTGATTGACTAATTCAACAGCAGAATGGACATTATTTTTTAATTGTTTGAAATGAATTTAAAAAGCTAGAAATGAATTGTGGGCAGGTTCTGTTGAACATTGTGATATCATATGGAATGACTTGTCATCAGGCGCTTTTGGAACTTTTGTCAATAAGAGAGGAGTTCCTACAGGAATTCATCCATTTGAAGAGTTAGAGTCAGAAGAGTCAGACATATTACTTCAAGAAATTCATTAAGTTGAACTGAGCTTCGGTTTTTCAAGTAAGTATTTATTTAGAAGTGAGTGAGGCAAAGAAAAAAAATTGTCATTTTGTGCTAGTTTTTTGAAGGACGTGTGCAGCAATGCTGCAAATAGGTTAAGGAAGACAAGTTGTTAGTAATCAGTTTTTAGCTCTAATCAAACCATTTTAGCAACTTCTTGATGTAAATATCAAATGTCTCATTTGTATTTCAGCACGTTTTTTTTTTCATATTTGCAAACTTCATTGAATATTGAAACAGCAGAAAAAATATAAGGAGTTCTACGTGGAAAAAATTGTTTTTCCTTCAAGTTTGATAGATAGTTTATGATTTTCACACATGAAATGATCGATTTAATCCTCATTTCAGTTCATATAATATGTTTGTGTTTATCATGATGATTTGATAAACATTAAATGAAGTTTTTGATATATTACATCATTTAATTTACAATGTTTACTTTGAAAATGACTTACTGTAGAGTTGTGTTGTACATTTTGGACATGCTTTGTGCCAGACACGGATAACCTTTCCCTGTCTTTGTTTTCTATAGTCATGCAAAGACGAAGTGAACGTTTGCAAAACAATGGGTACTATGACATGTATGGCCAACCTGTTATCTCATACAGGGAGACGCCAGTCAGGTATATTAAATCAGCAATTTTTTTAACTCTTATGTTTTATGCAGTCGTGTATATCTTAACTCACTTGCATATTTTCCATCTAGGCCCAGACGGAGGCGCACAGCATATTTCCCTGTGAACCACCCTTCAAATAGGGAGATGATATTAAGAGTGAGGATTCATTGTCGTGAAGACCAAGCAACCCAGACAATAGACACGCTGATTCAAAGCTGCTTTCACACCTTTGTCTTTCTCATCTTTGCTGCTTTTGGTAAATATTCTCCTTCTACAAATTTGTAGACTATTTGAAGTGTTATAGAAAGACTGCATTTTGAATGTTGTCTCACTGTCATCTTCTGCTCATGTTCATCAGGTTGTATTTGGTGGAATATTTCCCTCCACTCACGACCCTCGAAGTTATCGATGACACCACCTGAAATTGACATGGTAGGCTTTCTCTTCCTAATCTTAACGCTGATTTAATTATCATGAACAAACATAAGAACAAGCTGTTAACTTCCATGTTGTGCACAGGTTAGAGTCTTTGCACGTAAGGATGAGGGATATCTCTCCAGGCTGCAATTGATGGAGACAAAGGTAGACTACCTTCTGCCACAAGTAGATCTGTGGCCCAACTTTGCTTTGGAGTCCCAAGGTGAGCCATTACAAATAAAATCATAAACTAGTTTTCAAATTTTCAGTATTACATTTTTATGACTCACATTATTTCTGTTTTTGTGTTTTGTGCACAGGAGCAACAATTTTACGCAAGACAAGCTCAGATACATATCACACCTATAAAGAATTTGAATTGTTTGGGGTATCTATCAAGCTACCTGCTATAGGCCCAGAAATCGTTATTAAGGTCTGAATGATAAAATAAATATTAGGAAAAGTGGTGTTTCTTGTTGATATAATATTAGGCTTTACAGTTTTCTTTTCTCTAAGTCTTGGTAACCCGCCTAAACTTTGTTTTGTTCTCTGTTTTCAGGGAAGATCTCATCTCAGTCCAGGACACTGCTGGGCCTTCGCAGATTTACCGGGACGTTTATCCATAGCACTGTCCCACAAAACCACCGTCACTCATGTGTCAATGAGTCATATTCCCAAGTTCGTTTCCCCGACTTCCTCAGTCTCTAGTGCTCCTCGAGAATTTTCTGTCTATGTAAGTCACGTAAAATGAGTGTGAAAACTATAAAACATCCACCTATAGTATATGTTAAGTGTACATTTAAATTGTATACATTTAAAATGTATTGATTCAGTATGACATCACTTGATCTCATTCTAAACTCTGTAAACTTTCATTCTGCACTAATTAATTTTCTGCTTACCTCGGGATGTGATATGTTTTTAGATACATCAAATAACTTCCACATATCGAGAAAGAACAAGATAATGAATTGCATTTCTGTCTGATTTTGTCTCAGGGAAAGGAGAACTTGCAAGATGAGGAAACTCATTTGGGAACTTTCTTGTATGATGAAGATGGCGACCAAATACAGACCTTCAAACTTCCTGTAAATATGTCAAATGAATGCTTTATAAACCAAATACTGTTTTCACAGAAGCCCAGATCGACTGACCCTGTTATAAATGCTGATCATATTTCCGAACATACAACCATAAGGTTCTTTACTGGGTATTACTAGCATTGAATTAAAATACAAAGTACTTGAAATAAAGTACCGTACTATTGCTCCATTCAAAATGCTCCAATGAAAATTTCTATTTAAACCATAAACATTATGTTAATTCTGCACTTCCAGAGCTGTTGAGAGAGACTGTAACAGATAGATAGCATTGAATTGAATTATGTTGGCTAGAAATAGTGCCTAAATAAACCACCATTCCCCACCTGCATAAAGTTTTGTTATTTAACCATAACTATTCCAAAACACACATACAAAGTGAACAGATAGAAAAAACTGTTGATTTTTTTTTGGCCATCACTTAGGGAGGAAAATAATTTTTCTCTTGGCATAAATCTCGTTAAGACTTTTATTTATCTTGACAACAAAAAACAAAAAGTCAACGTCTTATTGCTGCGGTGTGGAATCTTCTTCCATCAAGACGGAGACTCGGATTTCTTTTATTGAACATTTTTGTTCAGTTTTAATGGGGAGAAAACAGCGACAGCTCATAACAGCAACAGTTTGTTACCTAGCAATCAAAGTCAACAGAAGCAAGACTGTGAGAAAATACAGAACCAGATTCTGTTAAGCATTCTTCAAAATAAAAGACTTCCTCTACCCAAATAAATCATGCCTCACATTTAAATATGTTTCTCTTCAGCTTTTGTAATTATTTACAATCATTTTAAATTGAGTTAATAATAATCACGTGAATTATGCTTGACAACACTTCACAAACAATCATTTTTCTTGTCTCTGTATAACAAACAATTAAATCCCAGTGTTACTACATAACATTTTCCTTTCTGGTTAGTAAAACCTCAGTGTAATTACCTTGCTATCTTGAGATAAACTATGCAAATATATTTGCAGCAAGGCCAGTTGAACTCGGCTTCCATAAGACAGACCTCCTTTGTGTCTATTGTCTGTCTATTTGTAACTATGGATTATCAGTCTAACCTAATTTGTATCTGTCTTGGTTTACAGGCCGATAAAGTTGACACATTCCACTACGTGACTCTAAATGTGAACAGTAACTGGGGTCATCCGGATTACACCTGCCTTTACAACTTTAGAGTTCACGGTGAACTTGCCAAATGATGAGGACAAGGAGAAAATGGATAAAAGATATCAAAGGGAATGTATTTTTTTCTTTTCCATACACATATACACAAAGGCCCACAGGTACAACAGGAACCAATTACTATTATGTTTTACAGGAGTGACACATTATTATGGTCCCTTTATACTGTAATAGTATAGATTTTATTCTGACGGACTGAAATGAGGGCTGCACAATGGCACAGTTGGCAGCACTGCTGCCTTACAAAAACGAGGTTCAGACATGATAAAAGTAGCATGCGTGGGTCTCTTTCCGGCTACACCGGTTTCCTTCCACAGACATAATAAAAATGGCATGCCTGGGTTTTCTCCGGCTACACCGGTTTCCTCCCACAGACATAATAAAAGTAGCATGTGTGGGTTTTCTCCGGGTACTCCGGTTTCCTCCCACAGACATCATAAAAGTAGCATGCGTGGGTCTCTTTCCGGCTACACCGGTTTCTTCCCACAGACATCATAAAAGTAGCATGTGTGGGTTTTCTCCGGGTACTCCGGTTTCCTCCCACAGTAAGAACATGACTGTTAGGTTAATTGGTCTATCCAAAGCCTACTTACGTGTGAGTATGTGTTGCATGGTTGATTGTCCTGTCTATCTCTAAATAGAACAGGATCCATTAACACATCTTTTTAAATAATTCTCATGTTCTTAACCTCCTCCCAAAAATCCGTGGTTTTGTTGCATTGCCACAAGCGATGTAATAGTGCCCCTTTCTCCACCATGTATACACAAATCTAGAATGATGGGGTTAAACTATTCAGTTTTACAGGGGTGATGTATATTCTCATCATCCATTTATACTGTAATAGTGTAGACTTTGTTCTAATGCATTGGGAATGAGGGTTGCACAATGGTACACTTGGTAGCATTGTTGCCTTGCAGAAAAGAGGTTCAGACATAATAAAAGTGCCATGTGCGGGTTCTCTTCGGTACTCCGGCGTCCTCCCACAGTCAGAACATGACTTAGGTTAATTGGCACTGCATGGTTGATATTCCTGTGTGTTGCACTGGGATGGATTGGCAACCTGGACAATTCCATGTTGTGAATTTAAGTCCTATTTTTTGCACCATTTAAAATGAAAGTACTGACAACATAACATAAACTGTTGTTATTACAGTTTATGTAATAACAGCTTTTACATAAACTGCTGTTACATTTAACATAAACTGTCTGAGAAGATTAACATATTCAAACACAAACATAAACTCTGAAAACAGTACATTTATTTCTTGATCAAAATGTAAGACATTTTGACCAGGATATGGGAACACAGCAACATCACTTTGTAGATAACAGTGAATGTTATTCTTTCAGGTAATTTACTGCTACAGGCAATAAACTGCAACAGTCTGGGCATTATTTTCTGTAGACTAATAGACTGAGAACTACTTTCCTACATCTCTCTTTTTTAATATGTGTAATGTAAACTAATATTGTAACTAAATCTGTCTTTCTTCTTTCAGAGGTTTGCTGAGAGTTTTTTGTTTTTCTTTTTTTCATTATTTTTGCCCTCTTGAAGCCAGCCAGCCTCGGCAGAAGGCTGCTCATCCTGAGCCTGGTTCTGCTGGAGGTGTCTTCCTTTTAAAGGGAGTTTTCCTCTCCACTGTTGCCTTGCGCTTGCTCAGGATGGGAGATCCCTTGGATTAAACATCCATCGCGATCTGCTGGTGACCCCTCCGCAGAATCGCCACCTTAACGTGGTGGAGGGGTTTGAGTATCCCCATGACCCAGATGGAGGTTTTGGCTTGGGCTTCACCCAGTAGTGAGGCTTCCCAGGCAGGCTGCCATTGGGGAGGGATCAGACTAAGAGCGATTCAAGGTTTTCAATGAAGGACTACCAAAGGAATCAGGTATTTCAAGGAGACAAAGTTATCCCAAGTCCGATTTTGCAGGAAGTTTCTCTCTATAAACAGTCAGTTATCTTCCTCACTGATATAAATGTCAAAGAATTCAATGTACTCCAAGGCCCTCCTGTGACTGCTAACTGTGGTTCCATCAAGGTACCAGAATGTGAGGAACTTAAGGTCAGATGGGGTCTAAGATAACATCAGAAACATATCAGAACCATTTGCTTTGGAGTCTCAAGGTGAGCCATTACAAATAAAATCATAAACTAGTTTTCAAATTTTCAGTATTACATTTTTATGACTCACATTATTTCTGTTTTGTGTTTTGTGCACAGGAGCAACAATTTTACGCAAGACAAGCTCAAATACGTATCACAGCCACACTGGAAAAAGTGATGCACGGAGCTGTTCATTCAAGCTAATAACTACCATTGAATACATTGTAAAATAATTGACTTGATGGTGAAAGTCAATTTTTTGCATTCTGAGGTGTCAATTTTGATTCAGACTGAATTAATCATACTTCTGAAGGAAAGAAAGCAAATATTTTGATTTCTCTCAAAACATACTGACAGGAAATGATGTAATAATTTGAATCTGAGTCACGTGAGAAGAAGTTGTGGAGAAGTGCTTGGAGAGCATCGTCCGTTTCGGCATGGGAAAGAAAGAATGATTAACGTCCTAGCATTTAATCGAAGAATAAACCTGCGGTAAGTACTAACCTAAGCTGATGTCTTAACAGGCCTACAATTGTATTAATGCAAAAGACTGAGTTAATGTCACCTGGTTAGCAAGCTGAAGGTCCCGCCTAAATATGGGTATCCCAGTAAACGCTTTCTTTTTTCGCCGGGTTAAATGTGGTGTCATTTCTGAACTTACACGTATTTCACGAGAAATATCACTATGTACATTGTTCGGTTGTAGCTGAAATTAATTAAGGTAGGCATAATTCGTTACCAATCAATCGCTTCCACCACGGTTCGCTCGGCTACACCGTGAACTTGACTAGCTCAGGATATTAAGTCAATTAGTTTGTCTAGTGTGTTTATACCAACCATTTAAAAAAAGAAAAACATGTGCCACCTATGAGTACATTAATGTGTAGTAGCTCATAGACTTAGACTTAGACTTCCTTTATTGTCATTGTACAAAAAAACACAAGGTGAATCTTGACAACGAAATGTCATTACTTCGCTACCAGTGTAGCAGAGCTAAAACCTTATACTACCCAATAAATAAATACAATACAAGTGCCATTGAATACACAGGTTCAGTGTTGTGAAAAAAACTAAACTAAAGTGCATGTATTGACCATGTCCATGGGGGGTCATTTGGTTTGTGCGTGTGTGGAGGGATGTTATTTGGCGTTAAGCAGTCTGATGGCCCGGGGGAAGAAACTGTTCAGTATTTGTGCACCTGTCACTGCACCAAAGATACTTTGAGACTGTAGGAACCAAAACAGGAGCCATCCAGTCTGTCTTCATATTTAAAGAGGGACTACCAGTGGCCTCTGGCAGATGTACTAGAATGGCTTTACATTTTCACTGCTTTGAATTAGTCTGCCATGGATTCAATATTGACCTGTAAAAGCACTGTTTATGGTAGAGCTAGGAATTGAGTTGCTAGATTAGTCTACACATTGCATAATAACCATTTTGATTGTCCCTAAAGGGTGCTGATGCAGATTTCAGAAGGGAGTGTATCCTCAAAGCTCTCATCTACCTGGGAGAACGTGTTGAGGACCTTATAAAGGAATACATGGTATGTCCAGATATTTTCTGTCACAATGATGATTCAACTTTATTCATCACAGGAGACCACCTATGCCATTATACAATATATAGTGATTAATGAGGTGTGCCAGACTGCAGTTGTTCAGTTGCATATTTCCTATATTTTGCCTCAGGTCTCCCAGAAAGATCAAGCCAAGCAGGAGCTGGAGAGGACCATCATGGCAGACTTCGTCTTCAGAGAGAATTCAAGCCTTCTACAGCAGCCCCAAGACGTTGGGATTGTCATTGATGGTGTGGAAGTCCTCAATGAGTTGCCTTCTGTTGCAGCCGGAGTTGTAATGCTCTTTGGACTTTGCTATGCCCTTATCATGGAGTATCCACAGGGTTTCAGGTTCACCTTTGAGGCCCTTCAGAAGATCCTGATGGAGCTTGGTTCCAACAAGATGACTTCCAAGATTCGCAAACTCAGTGGTGAACTCAAAACTGCACAGTGGTGTATATTTGTGTGTGCTTAATGTGTGCATGTAGTTGCCACTGGCTTCTATTTAAGAGGTAGACCACCTCAGCAGCACTTTGTTATACAGGCTCACGGTGTCACTTTCGTGGACTGCTTTTGTTGGAATTTTACTTCTTTGATGATGTTTAGAGATGCAACATTCCTTGTGTTTGAACAGTACAACAGTGGATGCTTTCCAACCATTTAATTTAGCTTGGTAAGCCATATTGTCTTTATTTCATTGCTCTGAGCAACAATGACATGTTTATATTTGTTTGTCTGAACATGTCACTTTTTTTTCTCCTTTTTTACTTGTGAGGAATAAATGACTTTGTAAAAATGTTGCTGGAGTGTATTAAGTGTGATTGATGTGAGTGATGCAAATAGTTTTTTAAACCAAATTTCTGAAAAAAAAAAAAAAGACTTTTATGGTGAAAATGAATTAACTGGTGCTAATGCCTGAATATTGCTTTGGTGCGATGTATATATATTTGATTGGTTCAATGTAAATATTTTACTTTGGTTCCAAAACTGAAATGTAAATAATTTAACTTGGATAAAGGTGAAGAATTAATATTGGCTCAAGTACAATAATATGGTTTGAATCAAAATTAAATAGCCATGTTGTACCAAACAACTTTATTTACATTCTGTGAAGTCAAATATTTTAGATGCAACAAATGGACATCAAACTTTTTACTTTAAGCAAGGCCACACTTTTTCCAGTGTATGCACTGTTCAGCCAAAAGCTCATTCTTGTTTAATCTTCAGAGGATTAAGTTTAAATTTGCTTGAGTAATGTACGTCCAACAAATCAGTCAAAAGATATTCAACTCAGTTGATATTTATTTGACAAGATAAATACAAGAAAAATATTCTGTAAAACTATTCACTAACTAAAGTGGTGTCTCTGATGTAACTCTGTAGTATGTAATATAAAATAAAATACATCTATTTTTACACATTTGTGAAATTGTCAATGTGTTATGATAGTTTGGCTCCTCTGCCTTCTCTCAGCCCTAATTCCAAATAACCAATCAGAGCCAGGAGTCGGGTCTTAGAGCATTAGCATACTGTCTTAAATGCTAAGGCTAGTTAGCATGGCCACAGATGACAGCAGATAATCAGTTCTCCTGTAACAGGAAGCTGTTCCTCCGCCATCAGCACATTGACCAGCGAGTACACAACATTCACTGACAGAACGAAAACCCTCATCCTGTCTGATTGGTTGTTTTTGGTTGGGAGTGGTGAATTTCTTCAGTTAGTATTAGCAGCACAAAGAGGAGATGAAGGAGATCAAACTTTTCTTGGATTATACTGTGATAGTTTTAACAAATATATATAAAAAAAGATTATTTTTTAAATAAAATTTATATACTGAAGCCTGATAAAAGCAGCTTGTTAAAACCCTATACACCATGTCTTCAGCTTTGAGTTTCCCCTAAACTCCAAAAGACAACCAACACTTCTTCCCTTGTAAACCGGAGTACTACAGGTAGAATATCTTAACGTAAATTACAGATGGTAAAAAGGTTTTTGAGTTCTTCAGGGTTCTGCCTGGGTTTCATCTGAAGTTTCAGCGATAGTATTCTTACTACAGACACTATGAAGTGTCTGTTTTGCAAAGGACACTTGAGAGTATCCAACTAGGTGGTCAATTGCAGTAAAAAAATAATGAAATAAAAAATAATCACAAGACGCTGTTGTTCCTTTGAGACTTTCAGGCTTTTCATTCCTCACCATTTTCATCTCTCATTTATCTCTCTCTCTGTAGCTCCTCTCTGTAGGAGGTTCACCTCAATCGTAGTCTCAGAACAACCCCCATTTACCCTGCACAGCGCAGCGAAAACAACCATCCAGGAACACACACACACATGCACACGCACACACACAGTCATTATCAGCTTTACTCCCTCTTGAAGACATGCAGGCTTACACACACACACACGCAAACACTCCAAACATGAACGTGGCCACATTAATTACATAAGCGGTGGGGTTTTTCCTCCCTGCCATGTCCACTGCATGCCCTGAGATATTTAATAAACCTGTCACTGCCACGACTCCCCGCTACAACCTGGACTTAATGAGATAGATCACAACACACTCATGCAGATGGAGAGGAAGTCCAGCCACACAGGTTGGTCAGTTGGAGCGGATTTGGAAGCCTGTTTGACACCATAATGGAAAAAAAATTAAAAATCTGATCCGAAAATCTCTAATCTTTCATGAAGATGTCCAAACCATGTGGAGGAAGTTTTATGAAAACCCAAATATGAGTCTTTGAGGTCCCTTCATACAATTTCACAAAAAGAAACTCCGACTTTTACTTGCACAAATGTTTCATTTATTTTCACTTTCATGGAATAAGAATATTTCAGCGCTCCTTTATTGCACGTATGAAGGGTTTAGAAATATTTTAGAAATATTTTAACTTCATTGTCAACAGCAGTAGCACCATGCAGAGAAAGGTTGCACATGGGGAATGTAATCAGCATTTGAGGTGATGATAAGATAATGCGTTTGCTTCTAATTACATGAAACAGCAACATGAATTATGATTTTTGCCATTACTCTGGAGCTGGAGGATGTGGGGGGATTACATCTTTTGTAGGCTCCAAAAAAGTTAGAAACTTAGAGTAAAAGTGAAACATTAACTCTGTATGCAGCAGCATAAATTGCAGAAGAAGACACATTTTGCGACCAGTAAGCCCATGGCCAGAATGATGCCACTCCTATGGTTCCAGGTGTGTAAGCCGTCACTGTGTTTGGTTTTAATGGACGAGAAAGACATGATGGGATGGGAAAGTAACAGGCATTTAACACTGTAGCATATCCAACCTGGTCACCAGGTAGACTAGGTTGTGGAATATGTGACATAATTCTGCTGCGTCAGCAGACAGGCTTGGACACGGCGTGCGCTCCAACATGGAAGCAGAACCAACAAAACAGCTGAATCCCATGTTCTCTGCTCTGACAAAGAGTCATTCACCTTTTAATGCAGGATGCTTGAGTTTCATCCACAGTTGGAAAGTTGTACCTTAAACAGAGAAGCAAAATATAAAGAATAGAAAATCAGGTCTTGAGGCGCCACAAGGCTGCGGGTCATTAGCTGCATGTCTTGCCTTTCCACCTCTGACCTTATTCCTTTCCAGCTACTGTTAAATAATGGCCAGTAGTGCCATAAAAACCTTAAAAAAATGTCATTCAAATATCCATGTTTGCAA